GACCAACGGTTATGGAGGAAACGAATCCACAAAGTGGTTGGCCCCGCCGGGCGATAAGCCTATGGGGCATCATGAATCATGAATAGAATTATATTGGAATGAGGAATAATTCTCATTTAAATAAATTATAGAAAAACTTCATGAAATATTATATGCAATTTATACAAAAATGATTCAATCGCAAACACGTAGCACAGTATAAATTCTGATTCTGAAAATGGTATATGCAAACTCAACCTTCTAGCAACATTGAAGCAGTTAAAAGAATTAAAATTTGTCTTATTTTTCTATAGTCAATAAATGATCCAAAGAACGAGGATGAGGGTGTATCGCGAGATAATTAATCGAAACTCTTGTAAGTAGTACACAACCAAGAATACTAATGAAAGAATGTTTTGGACAATACCAACTTGTAATAATTTATTCAATAATGTGCTTACAATAAAACAAGATAGCAATATTGCGCTGATAATAATATGTGCGCATGTTTCTCAATACAAGTCAAGTCTAACTATTTCTTCGAGCAACTCAAATTTTAACTACTCTCTGACTTATAGTACTGCCCTATTCCCCCTTAATATATCGTGAGCTTATATACTAGCGAGAGAGAAAAGGTACACATAACAATTACGTACTATATTTAGTTTTCTTGATGTTCATCTGTTGGAATCCGAAGTAAATCGAAATGTAACAGCATACGAATATTAATTTTTTTGCTAGATCAAATATATTGTACATGTACGCAAAAAATTGCTCAATATTTACTGCTTATTTTTGAATCAGACTTATAGATATGATTAATGAAGTATTTACTAATGAAAATTTAATTCAAATAATTTCTTTTCTTGCTTATTTTCCTGAGGAAAATTATGATAGCTGAGGGTGTGGGGTGTGTGGGTGGACGTGGAGTGTGGGTGTTGATGTTCTGGACACCCAAACCCATCTATGCTACTTACGTTGATCGCCAACAAGCAGAAGATTTCTTAGTGTCTTAATGCAGAAGAAACAGATTATAATGAGATGTGAACAATGTCTTCACTACCTTTTTAATTCTCGAAGCATCAGTGAGACGTTGTTGCCCTGCTAATGTGATTTCATTCTGAGTCAAATTTAATGTTGTGAGTGTCTGTATCAAGTGAAAAAATGCATATACGGCTAATCGATTGAGAGAGTCACATTATTTTTCTCAATGGCATCAGTGAGATGTTTTGCTCCACGATCACCGATTTGATTGGCACTAAGATCTAATGATGTCAGTGTCTATAAGTATTAGTTAGAGCGTAAATGCATTAAATAATCAGGCAATGAGTATTACTTTGTTATTTTGTAGAACCTCAGCTAAAGCTTTGGCTCCTTGATCTCGAATTCCATTATTCTTCAGAATAAGTACAATCATTGTCTAGTTTGAAAAAGGTAATTGCACATTAATCATTATAAAGAAAGCAATGCTTAACTTGATTTCGGAGCAATGCATTGGAAAGACATTGTGCTCCTGTATCTCCGATTTGATTATCAGCAAGGTTCAATGTAGTTAGTGTCTGCTGTTAGAAGAGAAACTACACGAGAGGTATACTAGAGAGATTAAAATACCGTTTTATTCATGAGGTTGTCAGCAACATGTTGAGCTCCTATGGCGCCAAGTTGATTGCCAGCAAGATCTAACATCTTTAACATCTGGGTATCGATAAAAATAAACATAAAATGAACTATTTATAGATTCACAAAAGAACATAGATATCTGTGTTTAGAACACAGCAGAAAATGAAGAAGGGGGCAGCAAATATTGTTTTTGTTCCACTGCAGCTCTTATGTTCAAGCACACATTCAATCAACCTCATCGTAACAACATCCTATGTGAATATTAAAAATTTGACTACTCAAACCGTGTTTCATTACGAGGTCGATATAAAGAAGTATCGCTGCCAATTATAAATCTAACGAAAAGTTTGGATATTAGTCGTGCAAGACATATAGGATTAGTTTCGTTTGGATAGCAGCACCACCGATTCACTTTAATTCAATTGATGCCTATAAACTGTTTGCAACTGCTACTTTATTCAATAGCTAACGCGAGGGAACAGTTATAAGGTATTCGTATCGTTCAAGCTCAAGTTTTGTTAATGAGTAGTGTTGATTATATACATAAAAGAACTAAAGGAGTTTGTGCAATTACTACTTAGATTATCGCTTATGAACGAAAGAAGTACTATAAGAGAGGTCGCCATTATCGTTATATATGTTTTTGTTCTTTTCATATCTTGACTAGGGTTAGCCGTAGTTTGTCAGTTCAATATTTTCTTGATATCCTGTTGTATTGACGACTGTTTGCTTTAAAATTTGTATTTTAATTCTAGTTCAAGCTTTGATGAAACGAAAAGTCTTCGATTATTTTTGTATGAAAGGCCATGTTTATCAAAGAGCATCACTAGACTTATTCGTTTCTGCTTTTCTGTACCTTTCAGACAGTATTTCATTTTGACAACTGACCCATTGTCGGTAGACCGGCCGTCAAAACCTAAACCAGTTCTATCTATGTGGCTGGCAATTCCTTTGGACTTTCCGAAAATCCATTCGAATTCCTTAAAGATTTATTTGGATTTCGATCGAATCTATACGAGTCCTCAATGATTCATAACAGTCATTATAGTAATATTACATCTATCGCCCATGTTCTTCTAGGAAAATGTGTTTCCCGAAAAGTAACACAACACATCGACTCGGCGTATTGGCATGTACAACAGTAAGTATAAAAAGTGGTATCTGAAGTAATGAATGATTTTATTTTTGAAAGGTCATTTGGAAACGACAAAAACGAGGTACACTCGAAGTAAATAACTAACGAAATGTGATCTGTCGGAAGTCTTGAAATATTTTCATGTTATTATTTGCTTTTATATTTGTATCTTCTTAAGAGATACTTACCTCGCCTTTGTACGATAGGGGCTAATAAGCTTAGGTACTTTGAAAAAGAATAAAATCAAGAAAACAAAGTTACTAAAAGCCTCAGGTTATGGAAAGAAGATGAAAACATTTTGTTATATAGTTGAAGAACCCATTCAAACTGAATTAAAATTTAGATATCTCCTCCAAAGCTTTGAATATTGCGCGTTTCGATTGAGTTTTGGGTAGAATCCTTCGAATTCCTATCGGCTTCACTTCGGTTAAAGAGATTTTATTTCGATTCGATTTAAATTTTGAAAAGCCTCAACTGATCCCGTCTATGCCCATCTATGCTAGACAAAATTAATATGCATGTGATTAGTTATGATGCTGAAGAGGAGCCATATGAAATATTTCCCCAATTATTAGTCTTCCTTCAAGAAACGCAATACACAGAACTGTTCTTACCGGACAGGACCCTTTGACGACATACACCACAAGTTTGATATCCCGATCAGTTATTTTTCGATGATCCAGATATACTTCCGTAGTGTCTACAAATTCAATGATAGATTTTTTTCAAGTTCTAAATCGTGATGCTATTGGATATCCATGAATTTAAGTAGAGAAATGAGAACAACATTGTTCGATCAAGCTATCGTCAACTGCTACAATTCTTATTGCTCCGTGCACAACTTACAAAAAGCAATCATATCGCAAGTAAAAAACGAGGAAGGTACTTGATATAATCCAATATATTGGGCTCAAAAACGATTTAGGTAACTATTCAAAAGTGATAAAGTATGCTAAATTTACATTGCCTACATTATGCACACAACTACTTTTGTTTAATGATTTAAGATAATGAGTTGCTCAAGAAAGAGGTGAGCCGAAACTTCACGCCGTCTCTAACTTAGAAATAGTCAAGAGAATTTCTGAACTCAAGATAAAAGGAACTTTGTTTCAAAAATATTTCACGTATCACAGTGATTATTAGAAACAATTTGTAACTTAGCCATTACGAACAAGGTGGCATGTAAGTGATACAGATCGTTCTTTAAACAGAACTACACAACTTATTATAGCTGTGAACTCGACAATATTTCATCGTCGCATATTCAAAATTTTGATTTGTTTACGGGAGATGTGGAACTTTGTGAAGATTTTTTCGAAAATATCTACATGCACTTCTAAATATCCAATAGAGTATATGTGCATTTACATTATACATTCCTTTTAGAATTGTATTCGGCTCAACCGTATGTCATTGTTGTGCTTTTCTGTGGAATTTATGACACAACTATATTCGACATTCGCCTACACGACTCTTACCAGTCAATATTGGTGTATTCTTGTTGTTAGTGGCAGTCATCAGCTGTGAAGAATTTTCATTAATAGGAAATGGAGGCTCTAGCAACGTGAAGGGTGGCATTAATTCACGTAAATAAATCATACACAAGCCATTGTTAGTTATCTTCACCTTCTTAACTACTTCAAAATAACTGCAGGGAAGAAGTAATATTTCATTTTCATCTTCATAAAGAGAATGACGCTGGATGCTTTTTCCATTCAAGCATTCGATTTGAAATAGAGTACTAACACGTGATGAGTCTAGGAATTGAGTTTCTGCAATCTCCCTGGACTGACTACACGAACTAAATGCCCACCACGTGATATGGCTACCAACTTCGTATAGATTGTAAAGATCGGTTTTTACACCACGCCAGACAGTTCCACGAAACCACGCTAATTTGAAAAGAGCAGTAAGAATGAGCTTCAAGTAAGAAAACCACGGTATTAGTTTCTTTCGATCCTCAAGACGAAGCGTTTCATTTAATACATTATAGAGGCTTTGATTTTCCTCGCTCCATTCAATTGTATAGAGGCGTATGGCAGCTGATTCATTCTGCTCGAGACCGTCTGCCGGACTGTTACTTCTCTCCATCGATACCCAAACACGTGATTCCACATTATCAATTATTTTTGCCAGCGGTATAACTGCTTCTTTCAACGTTACCAAAGGTTTTTTCGCATATCCGTCCAGTGGAAGTGAAAGTATTAAACGTTCCTTATCAGCATCAAGAAAGCGTCCACTAACAGAGGTGTTAGAGGAAGAACCTGCAGCCATTTGAGTAGAAAAATCTAGATAAAGCATTAACTATTCTGTATACAAACAAGACTTATAAAATAAAATTATTGTTAATTGCACAATTTATCAAGAAATTTATACACTGGGTGTGGGTATGCGATGTAATAATCGTGAGGGGTAAATAGAGAATGCACATCAACATCTTAAATAGCGTCTCGCTGTTGCTATTGTTGGAGAAATTTTTTACTACCTACATCGAGTGCCTACTTCTTCAAATGGTTTCATCTTGTTTTCTACGACAGGACAACGGTTTTTTCTGTTCTGCTTCTGTGTACTTTGGCTGCTTTTTCTTCATTCTTTTTACAATATTTTAAATATGAATTCTATTGGCAATAGAACTGTACATAGAAACACTAAAATATTCAGTAGACGAGTTGACGACGAGTGATCGTAAAACAAAAAAATTCTTAATTCTGCAAAAATTTATTTTCCTGCGATTTCAAGGTGGCTTTTGTAAAAAAAAAGTCTACACTCGATCTTACGACTATTCGTTGTCAGCAAACTAGCATTCTTCTTTTTTAAATATTTTATATCTATTTTAAATTGAAACATAAATCAAATCAACAAACTTATACCGCGATTCGATACTTGATTTTATCACTCACTGAAAACAAGAGAAAGAAAAAATTTAGCTTACGGATTTGAATTTGTACTTCAAAAATATTCACATTCTCATGAGAATAATCTAAAAAATGATTTATGATACAATACATGTATAGGAATTTAGAAGTATCCTGAAATTTTTTCTTGATAAATTCACAAAATTAAAGCACGTATAATTAGCGACTGAAAGAAGTCAATCAGAATCATTTTAAAATATCAATACTAAATCAGAAAATCGAAATATGCACATTTTCAGACAGCAAGTACTGCCAAGTATAAGATGATAGCGAACGTTTCTTAATCTTAAAAGTCATAAAAACGATGCATCTATCATTTAAAAATATGACTTGTTCATTAATATCCTACGACTACTATGAGAATACGAAGCAAAATGCCTGTATTTCATGTTACTAATTTTTTACTCTAATTCCAAGATGTTGATTTTTACTCATCATCTCTTTTTTTATTTTGCAAGTAGAAAAGCTAAGCCAATTCACTTTTAATAATCATGCTTTTTAAAATGTGACTCTCTAATTATAACTATATGCCTCTCTCTATGTTGATGGTATATTTATTTTATTATTATTCAAATATTCTTGAAAAACAGTAGCCCTCAACTCTGATGATGTAATTAAACAATTGAATGTAAAAATACTTGTAAACATATCAAAGTCTAAATTAGTACCAACTAATAAAAAACACTTGATTACAATAGATGATGATAGTAAGAAAAGAAGTTTTCATGTGGAACTTTGCTGACCATTGTAATGATTTTTGTCGAAGTCAGTTTCAATTGATTGTTGTGATAACATTACTTCTATTTTAATCAATAATTATTGGAT